AGTAGGAACACCATGTTGGCAGGATTTCAACAGAAGGTGGCAGTTCTTAGCACCAAGACTAATTACAATGCCAAAGATTTCCAGAAAGGAGCCAGCTTGCTACTTATGGGCTTTTCCTCTTAACTCCCCATACCTCTTGGTTCTCTGAGAAGGGAAAAGAGTACAGAAAACATTGCAGAAATTAATAATTTATTAGGATACATTTCTTAACCCACACTCTAACAACAAAAATCCTGATTTCATGCATTACTTTTGGTATATATAATCATTGCATATTGCCATAAATAGTATATGATTTGCCTGTGGCTTAGAAATACTGTAACTTTTTTAATGTATAAGAGTTCAGGTCTTTCTTCCTAGTTTTTTTAATGGCAGAGTCCCTTAATTGCCAGTCAATTATGAGGGCAAGATGACCTATCAACTGGATAACCAGAAGTATTATTTATCACAAATAGAATAGAAAATGCTCATTGAAATGCAATTGTATTTTTTATTTATTTATTTATTTATTGTTAGTTTCAGGTGTACAGAACAATGCAACAGTTACCCTTTTCACCCTCACAAAGTAACAACCCCCCACCCCCCATCCACTGCCCTGAAATGCAATTGTATTTTAATCATTAGGGAAACCTTGTGATCTCTATGTCTGGATATAGGTCATATGAGCCTTACATTTAGCATGAATATGGTAATGGAACACAGAAATGCCCTCTAATATCCCTTTCAAGAAATAAATCATCTGGCAGCATGCCCCATAGTTTATTAAGCAACTGTCTGACTTTCATATATGCTCAGATTTAGGCAACAATATGTCTGTGTAGATTCATGTGACTAGTGAACTTCAACAGATGTCTATAATGAACTGAAAATACATAGTAAATCAAATCAAATTAAATACCTCTGGAAAATTTTATTTCAAGCCAACCAGATTGCATGCAGGAACAGATAAATTCTGTATGATTGAAAAATTAATACAACATTTATTACTAACTCATGTCCCTTTCAAATATAAAATTAGTAAAACTGACATTAGTTTTTATTTTATTTTATTTTTTATTAAAATGTATTGGGTGACAATGGTCAAGAAAACTACATAGGTTTCAAGTGTACAATTCTATACTACATCATCTATATATTTCATTGTGTTTACCACTCAAAGTCAGTTCTCCCTCCATTAACATATATTGGGTAGTCGGAAAAGTCATGACGTATTTTTTCTATGCTTTTCATTGCAAAAATGCGTCACGACTTTTCAGACAACCCAATATTTCACCCGCATTACTCTCTTCTACCATCTCCCCTCCCCCCCTTACCCTCTGGTAACCACTAAATTGTTGTCTGTATCTCTGAGTTTTTGTTTATTTTTTGTCTTGTTCCTTTGTCACCTTCAGTTTTATATCCCACATATAAGTGAAGTCATATGGTTCTTGCCTTTTTCTGTCTGACTTATTTCACATACAAACAGCCAACAGATACATGAATACATGTTCAACTTCATAGCTTTTAGGGAAATGCACATCAAAACCACAATGAGATACCACCTCACACCTGTTAGAATGGTTATCGACAAGGCAGTAATAACAAGCGTTGGAGAGGCTGTGGAGAAAAAGGAACCTTCATACATTGTTAGTGCGAATGTAAATTGGTATAACCACTATGGAAAAGAGTATGAAGGTTTCTCAAAAAAATTAAGAATAGAATTACCATATGGCCCAGCAATCCCTCTCCTGGGTATTCTACCCAAAAAATCTGAAAACATTTATCCATAAAGACATATGTGCTCTGATGTTCATTGCAGCTTTATTTACAGTGACCAAGACATGGAAACAACCAAAGTGTCCTTCGATAGATGATTGCATAAAGAAGATGTGGTATAT